AACTGTTCGTGCCCCGCCCACCGAGTGATTTTTCAAAGGAAAAGACTCCCGACAGATGACACACGAGACGCGGTTAATATGCAAACCATAGGACAAGTGCTCAACGCGAAACAAGCATCCTAGTCTTGTTCCAATGGAACGCACAACTTACGCCGACGTGTCCGTATACGGGCGTTTAGAATAACCAGCGTTCAATGAGATTGAATCAGGGCTACCACACATACACGTTGTATGAATAACCGCTAGGAAAAAAAGAAAAGTGTTATTTTTTCTTACTCCTATTATGTAACGTCGAACTGCAAGATGATTCGGACCTACAGACGAACTGGGAAGGATACGTTCGTAACCTGTTTTGTTCATTTAACGACGCGTTATCTGTTACAAAAAAAAAAACGAATAATTTTGTGCACATTCGAGAACGACTGATCAATCTAACAATGTAGCCAGTTCACGGGAGAACAGGAATACCAACCACCATTTCTTTTACGTTTGGTATTTAATCTCTTTGCAGTTTCAGCTCCATGGGAAATTTATTTTTGTAAAACACTTTCCGTATTTTTTTAATACTTAAACCAACCGCTTGCTTAGCTTTAATTACAACCTCATTACTCTCAGTTAGTAGTAAGGTTAATCCAGGCTGTTAATGGCGGATTTGTCGTTTTACAAACATTTTAATTCAAAACATGCCACACATTTTAACGCTTACTGTTAGAATAGTTAGGTTTTCTTAACAATGGTTTTTAAAACCTACACAGCATTGGAAATCTAGGCTCGAATGAGGTTATAATATAAGACAGCAAAAATAAAATGTGCATAATTTTGAGAGAGGAGCATTTTGGAATCCGACTATTTCGAAGACCAAATATCATCACCTCGGAGAATTAAAATGAAATAGATATCAGTGAAACAGTTTTCAAAGATATGAACTACATTAGTTTCCTATTGCGTGGTATGTCCGCCATGACAGTCCATGATTAAAAAGTAAAATCAGCTCATTTTTACAATGGGACGACCTTGGCCCATCCGGCAAAATCAATACGTATATACACGCATATAAAAAAAAAATCATCATTCATAAATGAGCCCTTGAAAAAAAAATGCTGTTGTCTTGCCCAAAGTCATGGTACTCAAAGTGCGGTCACTTAATGCAACATTTCAATAGTGTATGAAGATTTCTTGATTACCAGGGGTATACACACCCAGGACACCACTTTATACCCTTCGCAAAATTTCCTCTAACACTTCAGAGCCCAAAAGTAATTATATATACCAGCTGCTTCAATAACTGTGCATTTTCTGTTTACGGGTTTCGTATTATTCTCAGTGTAAACAGCGATTATTTCCTTAAACAGCGTCAACCAGTCGATCTTTTTAATGGTGAAGTGTTGTGTTTTCTTCGCGGTACGGACTGAATTCTTAAGTATTTATACAAGCTTCGGCTTTGAAGGGTTAAATATGAGTCAAAATATCGGAGCCCTTACACAAAAGGCAAGTGTTTCTAACATCACTGGCCCATCGAAAATTGTTCCTAACTCCCGAGTACGAATCCCACAGCCTTGACGCTGCCATCCCCCACCCAGATCAGATTTAGAAATGAATTACGTGACAACTGGAACCATCAAGGATACGCAACATTTCATAACAGGGAGAGGCTTGTCGCCAATATGCAGTAGGCCCCGACTTCACTACTGTACCTTCCCTGCATAACAAAGGTTATGAGTACCGAGTAGTTGGTACTCCTGCTTCGCATTCTGGAGGTCCCCGATTCAAATCTCGGCCTGTAGGACGGCTATCCTTAATTAGGTTTTAACTAGTCGAATCTTTGTACGGACTGAATTCTTATAAAAAAAACTTTTATGACGACCTTCAAAGGGATAATGAAGACTATGGGACGTTTTTACAAGTTTCATAAATAATCAATGACGCTTACTTTCTGTAGCTTGTCTTCGCCTGAACACGTAAGACGTAATACCATTATTTAATTTATATTGACGTGTATTTCTAACAACTTCCGGAGTAAGGACGAACTTTCAAGCGTCTTCAAGTTATAGGCAAGCATTTCAAGGCCATTCGCTGAATATTACATTGCGACATTTCGCCTCCTACCGCGGTTTGATGACAGATGCAGTTTCAACACTTCCCACCGTACGAACGGGACACCATCTTTGTATCTATTTCTTTGGTGTGCCGAACTATCAATAAAAAGAAACTTGTACTGCCATCTGTTGCCACTGTGGGATAATCAACTGCAGCATATCGCAATATGAATTCACAAAGGTTGTCGCGGAAATTGAAAAGTAAACATCTTTCTGATTCCGAAGTGACACCGAAGAACTCTTTCGCAAGTTAAACAAGTAAACTAGTCATTAGATTCACGAAGCGTAGAAACGTACTCTATCTTCGAGAACACAGTTTCTAGTATGTCCTTTAAAATTTCACAGCAATCAATTAACTTTTTTTTTTCCAGAAGATGGTAAAGTTGCGTCATATTGTGATATAATAAGTATATATTAAATCTTGTCCGTCTAATCACAATAAATTCTTATTAAATATTAAAATATTACAATAATTAACATTTAAAATATTTAAAATATTAAATGATGTTCTTTATCGAAATATTCGATTTACATTAGACCATCATTTTTCATGTTTCACGACATGTTTCAGTTCCTAAAAGAACCATCCTCAGGTGTATATAATATTCATTTAACCTTTATGTTATTTACATTACAGACTGATACAAAAACAACAAAACGTTCACCCACACTAAAGTTCAATACTTACTAATATACTAATATATGAAAATTGTATTTGAATTATTTATCGTTTTAAAGCTTTATATAATTATATACACCTGAGGATGGTTCTTTTAGGAACTGAAACATGTCGTGAAACATGAAAAATTATGGTCTAATGTAAATTGAATATTTCGATAAAGAACATCATTTAATATTTTTAAATATTTTAAATGTTAATTATTGTAATATTTTAATATTTAATAAGAATTTATTGTGATTAGAGGGACAAGATTTAATATATACTTTTTTTTCAGATGAAGCCCTGCTATTCACAAAATTAAGCACACACAAGTAAGCAATGTTTTATTGAATTCCTTCAACTACATACGAAAAATAAAAACGATTAAACGTGAGTCGTAAAACTTAATGGCGTGTGTGATGAGAAATCCCGTGAAATTATACACGAGCTTTATGTAGCATTAGAAAGTATTGACGGAAAGGATATGGAAAGAAAATTTCCCTCGACAAATTTCTGTTAACTCCTATACCGAATTTGACATAAAACTGATTAGTTCTAAAGATAAACAGTACAGAAGGACATGGCCTTCCAATTACATGAGTCACATTTTACAAACTTCCTGCAAATAGCAAATAAGGAACCACAGAAATAAACACAGTGCCTTCAGGCGATTAGACTGAAAACAACTGAGGCAGAACACGCAAATCATAATAAATATATATATATATAAAAAAAAAACCACACACACACACACACACCAATCACCTTAAGTTATACATATTTTGTTCACTACAAACAAGAACTCCGCCTTCAGCCATAAAGATGTATGGGGTTATGGAGGCAAAGCTCCGCGCATTCTTTATCACGGCAGAAGATGTAAGATGATACATAAACTTACGTTGTAAATAATACTTGCGAATAATCCCTCAGACAGACAGGCTGAGAGTGTCAGAAAACAGGGTGTCAAGGAGACTGGAGAAAATTTCAGAATAAAGAGCTTCATAATTTGCATTCTTCGCCAAAATATTATTAAAATGATCGCATCAGCGCGGACGGAACACGAAACAGATAAGTGTATCACAATTTCGGTACGATATTAAAACGGGTATTGAATAAATACGGATTGATGGATTAAGCTGGCTCAGGATATGGTTCACTGACTGACCTCATGTGAACACGGTAATGGGACCCTCCGGTTACGTTAAAAGGAGACGAATTTCTTGAGCAGTTTTGTAACTACCATATTTCAATAGTTATGTTCAACGACTGCATACTAAATCTTCCCAACACCACTTTTTTAAAGATAAAAGCAAAGTACTTATTTTGTTATTACAGGATATTCTCATGGCAAATCATGATTTCCATCGTCAGAAGGCCACAAACATTAAAATTCCGAAAGACAGCATAAGCTTAATTCCAATGACATCGTTAAACAAATAACACGTTAAAAGCTGAAGACAGTAGAATATCTGAACGTTCTTAACCCTTTGAAGCCGAAGATCGTCTGAATATTATTTATGAATTCAGTCCGTACCGCGAAGAAAACACTTCACTTAACCATTAGAAGTCGAATCAGGCGGTACCACATAAGATTTAACAAAAGAACATCCCGGTCAAAGCCTTAATATACTCAGATTCCATCAGTACAGACAGGCATTTCGCTGGAGCGTGTACACTGGGACTGACCGGACGTTGTTATGAATGTTTTCCTTTATATTCGGCTTCAAGACAACACAGGCCCACCCCATTCGTTTTATTCTTCTTCAAGAAACACCTACATTACCACTTCATCTGATGTTTATTCAGTTTCACTCCAAAATTAACACATATCGTGCTATAATTCTCTTTGCGCCGTGTAGGTTAGGCAACTTCTCCGGCACGTCAACGAAACAGGTTGTCTAAATACAGTCATTTGGCTGTTAGCTATCAACTTGTGGCTACACTGCCCTGTTATAACGTCAGATGTGTATTTTTAGACTACAAACGAGGACGTAATTTGGACGTGACCAGGGTAGACGACGTTAAGGGCGGTTCACGAGATGCATAATTTTCTTAAAAAATAGAATAAGTCAAGTCAGGAAATCAGCAAAGTGAAATTACGAAGTATTATATGTTTGAGGCTGTTTTATGTCATTAGGGAGGTAATTAGTGGCGTTCATTTTTCCGAAAGGTCTTCGTTACAGCCGACGTTCTACACATGTCGCCTCAACCTAGACGCCACAGACTGACAAGCGCTGGCCTACCTGCTGGTTGCTTTGCTGTCGATCCCTGCTGCTGCCGCCTCCAGTACCGCCTCCGCTGCAGCCCCCGGCGCCCACAGTCGACCAGTCTACACTCGGAGCGGTGGTAGCGGGCACTCCGCAGCGGCTAGGGCACTGTGGACAGCTGCTATTGGTCGTGGAATAGTCGCCTGACCCCTGGAGGCAAAGAAAGGACGATATTTACTGGAGTTAAACTTCGGAGGATAATATTAAAACAGGGTAGTAAGGAACGGGCTAGATTCAAGTGGAAGAGAGTTATCTTTTTATAACCACGATAAAAGATTTCCTAAATTAAAAGGTTGTACCGTGACCGCTTATCTAACCGTTTCAAATAATGAAATCTCGTGAATTTCTATAAACTAGTAGAAAAAAATAGTCCGCTAAAATTGACAGCAGAACCTGAAGGCTCAACTTCCCGGCGTTGTAACCTATCCGCAGCCAGCCTAATCCAATCAGAATTTCCTCTAAGTTGCACTTTAATATTCTCCGTTTAAAAAATTGCGAGGTAAGCTTATCGTGCTGTTTAACTGAGTACCACAGCACACATGCGTACTGAGGAGTGCAGGTAATGCACTGGCACTGGATGGAAGTAAAATTGTTAGTTCGACGCCCCGGCCGATTTACCTCCCGGTGGGCATCAAAGCCGGTCTGGGCGGGGCAAAAAATCCTGCGCTGCCGGGAACTGAACCTCGGACGTCAAGACCGCGGTCCTGTTAACTATCGCGGTTTGAACCGCCGCTTTTAATAAACAGTGGCATTGAAATCAAGATGGCAACGACGTACCCTGGTTCCGAGAAAGCGTGCCTCTAGCAATTCTTGCTTCCTGGGGTCAAGGGCGGGCTGGAAGTGTTCCATTTTCACGCCAGCGCCTCCTGTGAACAAAAATTACAAGATGTAGCTTTATCATATCAACTGATAAAGTTATTCAAATGCTCATAGGGAGTGGCAGGGGAGCGAAGCAGCGACTTGCAGATCAAACAGGCGCAATAACCGTGAAAAGGCCTGGGTCACCATGACGCCGCATCCAGCGTCGTTGCTTGGTAACGCCACCTTTCTCTCATCGTTTCTCGAACCTCTCTCACTCTCCCTCTCTCTGTATCTCGAATTTCTTCCTTCCAAATCCTTAATCTTTTGCTGGCTTTATTCGTCCCCGAAAGTAGCGTCAAGGTGTATCACTCCTCTTCGTGTATGTGAGAGGCCCCCAAGTTCAGCTCTCGGCCCAGGATTCGCAATCCCGACCGAGGTTATTCGCGATTTTTTCTGTCTTCCCTGGAAAATTCATGAACACCTCAAAAACAAGGCTCGATCGCTATCCGTTGAATTCACCATCCACAAATAATTCATCAATTTATCAATCATTCTTCCCTTCGCCATTTCCCTTTCCTGCTACCGATATTTCACGTATCTGCAGGCTGGGAATAAAAAAAAACTTTCTGCATCTCTGTTCGACATGAAGACACAGGCTTGTTCTAGCCTTATGGCCACTACTCGCAGATCATCAACGGAACACTTCAAGGCAGATGCCCTGATACACGGGGAAATTAAAACAAGTGTTGGACTTAAAAAAAGGGACCAGTGGTGTAACACTAAGGACGCAAAATTATTACAAACGGGGAAGAAGAACGTGTTACCAAAACTGGTTATGTTTATAGCTTTGCAGACGTATCTTTGGTATCAAGAGAAAGTTAACTCGTACATGTGATGGCAGGCCACATCCTGGCGAAAACAGGTTATTATTATTATTATTATTTAGTGTTCTGTCTGACGACAGGTCCATATGAACAGGATCCTTCCATCCTTTTCTCGGACTGGGACCTGTTCATATACGTTCTTGGCAGATGATCCAGAAGTGATTTGCCATTGCCTTCTTCTGTGTGTGAATAGAGTAATTGTTGGGATGCCACGGAGAAAAACTCCGTGTTGCCTAGATCACGGCCTTGCCCAACACAAGTTATAAATTCGAACCCGAGACCCCAGGATTACAAGGCCAGCGTTCTAACCGCTAGACCACCGTAGCAACTGTCGGTCATTAAGGAAAGATAAATTAATCGTTTATCAAATACTCCTGCAATTACAGACATTCCGAAATGTTTTCTGAAATGATCTTGAAACGGTACTAAATGATTTAGCTGGAAGTCCAAGGCTTTCCCAGTGCGATTTCCTCTTCTAACAAGAATTAACTTAAAACCAGCGAAATTTGAACGAAAAATCACAAAAATGTATAATATATGCATAATAACATTGCCAGCGATAGTAACATGACGTGGAAGTTTATGTCTGAGAGCCTTTTATTAAGTTGAAATTCTGTCCACCTGCGTTTGCATGACCACTGCCGTGAACGCCTTAAATTGTGTCCTATCATCAGACAAGCGAACATTTGGCTTGACGCTTTCAGTTGCTAAGAATGTACAGGTCCACACAGTATCCCGGCAGGTGAGCGGGGGCGACCGAGAAACACCAGGACATACCTTCCAAGACAGTAGGCCTCTGGGCCCAATATTCGATATTAGTGTTATAAACACTAGGCTGAGACATTCCGCGAACGAGATTTTGTGTTGGTGGTGATGGAACATTCGGATTCCGTAAAAAGGATAATAAACTGGCAGGGACCATATCAACTGGCGTTATCGTGTGCGATAGTGTCTTCAACCTAACCTAACCTAACCTAACCTAACCCGTGACGTAAAACGCGTATTCCACAACCATCGCGTTTTGAAACACATAGCTTCGAGATGATAGATTAAACGTGACATTATTACACTGCATTACAAACTCTGCAAATATGCGACAGATACAACCAGGATGATCGAACAAAGAATAATAACATGAGTTGGACAGTGAGAAATGCGTATGGACCTTGGTCTCAAAAAAAATAAAAAAACTCATGAAGAAGAAACATCACCATGACAACATAGGCATAGTTTATCAGTGTGCGGGCTGAAAATGTCTAATAGCAATGTATCCCATAATGGTGCGGAATTGCCTTGACCACCTATATATAAACTTGTAGTTCGTTAACCATTATAACACGCGGTAATTATATGTACCACCTGTTTTTAACATTAAATAACTACATGTAGAATACAGAGTATACTACATATGGGCTTCCTATAATGATCAGAATAAAAATCGAACACTATTTCGTCAAATATCATTAACCAAATGATGTTTGTAATGGTAAAATGTTGTGTTTTCTTTGAGGTAAGAACTGAATCCTTAAATGCTATGCATACGATCTTGGAGCTTCAAAGGGTGAACGTAGATAATACGATGAAATGAGGAGATGCGATACAGCGCGGTGTGTGGACCCCAATGCACGGTGTAACAAAATCAATACGTGCAACCGATAACATCCGATTGACACTTTTGCCAATCTGAAGCAGCTCTTTTTTCCGTCCCGGTGCAATAGCCACTGACCTCAAGTCCCCGCCCTGCAGCATCACCACATAAACTGCCAAACTCAACAGCGCCTACCACACGAAGCCCGATTCCACGTCTCGTATTTTTAGGTGTTCACTTACGCAATACGCAAAAAAAAAAGATGCGTTGGTCGATTGACTGTCCCGACTTGTTTCCTGTTGGCTGGTTAGGACGAAAGGTTTCACATAACGATGATCTTAATGATTATTACATGGCACCTAGTATCGTAAGGCTAGTGAAATTTAGAGTTGACTGTACCTGTAGCTCGTATCCTTGGAAACGAGAAAAAGAGTACAGAGCTTTCCAGGGAAAACAAGGATCTCACTACGATGTGATATCAGCGTTCTTCTCCTACGCTGTGAAAAAAACGTATCAACTCCACTATCAAGTCACAGTATTGTTTATGGGAATACTCTGGAAATGTACCACCGGAAGGTAGATAAGATGGAAGGATAATATTAAAATGCATATTAGGCATGTAGACTGTGGGGATGGTACTTGGAACAAGGTCAGTACCGTGTCCAATGATGGACCTCGCTATTACCGCTGCGGTAACCTTCGCTTTACAGTTAGTCGAGTTAGTTAATTTGCGATGTTGCATCGTGTGGTACAGGTTATGTTAGGTTACGTGCTTTAACTGTATGTTTCTCTTCAGTGGGATGCGGAAGACCTGCCTGCATAGTTTTCACCTTGAGGAAGTTTTAAATAAACAAAATGACGTTAAAGAAAGATCAATTTGGACGGCGAGCGCCAGAGAGCAGGGCGACCCAACAGTCGCGGCTGTAATGTTGGTTGCCGGTGTCAGGGGGTTGAGTGAGTCACTGTTAACAGAGCTGGAAACTTTCCAGACATTCAGTAAAACACCAAGCGCTGCGCCAACTGTAGACACGCCGCCGAGGTGTTTCGATTTCACCACTAATGTCTCAGCTCCCGCATCACCACACGCTCGCTTACAGACGCCCAATGCCCTATAATTTCACACTTCTGTTAATTTTACCGTTACGAAGTATGTAAGAAACTTGTTCTACATGAGCATACCCTAAACACGGGAAGGTGAGTTGTCATGGTTACAGACAAAATGGACCTCTTAATGACTATATACAGAGTGTTCCAGGTCAGAGCTGTTAGGAAAAGCAGCCACTTGTTTTCCGACGTCCTTTAAATTTTATTGACTTCCTACTGAACGTCGTGCACAAGTGGTTAGCACTCCTTCGTGCTCGGGAGGTCCCAGGTTCAAATCTCGCCCCGGAGACAGACTATTCTAATTTTGTTCGTGGCTATTTCAATGTCTCCAGACACATGTAAGCCACGCCCTTTCCAATTCATTATCCAACAACCATCCCTTAAACCGGACTGTGCATAATCTTAGCAGCTGAAAACGTAATTAATCCTTTAATGACCAGAGGTATTGTTATATGCTAATTACTTTAACATTCAGTAGCTAAGACGTTTACTCATATAATACTTTTGTGGGACCAGAGGTATTGTTATATGCCAATTACTTTAACATTCAGTAGCTCAGACGTTTACTCATATAATACTTTTGTGGGTATCTGGTAGATACTGACTGACATTTCAGAGGTGCTTACTCCCTCTATCAACAAGGCGATAACGCATTGGCTGGGCCAAATGTCGGGCAGTGTAGCAGTTAGAACAGCACGTGGACATACAAACGACTTTTGCTTCATAATCCACGTTAAATTCATACGCCATTCTCTCGCCCGCATAAACAAATCTCAAGAGACGAGGATTGAGAAAAGAAGTAACAATACATTTTATTGTCTCAAGATGGCACGAGAACTTCTAACGCATTTATGACATATCGTTACCATAAGACTTCTCTGCATCAAAGTAACTTTTATAACCGCACACAACAGAGACACTAAATTTGTCAGATCTGATACAGAAACTTATCTGTAATATCCGGATCGTTTCAGTTGCTAAACAAAACATGGAGCTGGTTGATTTAAGTTACTGACAGTCTTGAAACGAGAAAATTAAGAAGTCACAGAAGGAAACGATGGGCAGGGAACCGGAGGTTTTCTAAAATGGGGGCATGAATTTAACACGAACTGCAACACACATTAATAACACGAGGCAAGAAACGGAAAACGCAAGCTTACAGCGCTAACGCAGATCAAACCCGTCTCATAAAAAACAAGTGAATGTACTGATCCAAGGAATTTCACTCTCAGTTTACTGCAAAACACAATTCCGTTTGTTAGTATATTCCGTCTATGAGTCGGCGTAACTCAGTCGGTATAGAGACTGGGCGACTGGGGTTCGATCCCCGACAGCGTAACCTATGCCACCAAACCGGCTCTGGGGGCCCACCCAGCCTCCTCTACAATGGGTACCGGGGTCCTTTCCCCCGGGGGTAAAGCACGGCCGGGGCGTGATGCTGACCACTCACCCCCATCTAGTGCCGAGGTCAAGGAAGAGAGGAGCTATG